TGTTTTTCTTTTTCTACTAAAAATTCCCTTGAACGTCATATGCCTACGTTTCTCTCGCCCAAAGGAAAGTTACTTTTCACATTTTTTGTTTTTTCCTTGGGCTTACAAAACACTTCCCTATAAGGCGACTTGTTTTTTGGTTGGAACATGAGTTTTAAATATTTCATGAGCCTCCTCCCCATGTGACACTGACGTGTATTTGGGAAGAACTGCCAGTGTAGATGGTTTGAAGGCTGTTGCAGTTGTTTGGCAGTTGGCATTTCGGCAGTTGTCCTTTTGGGCGGGTCCTGCGGAGAGTTATGTGTGCCTGTGTTGTGCGAGCTGCATTCATGGAGGCTCAGAGCTAGGAGGAGTGCCTTTACTCACCAAAGTTTTTGGAAATGCTGACAGTTATTTTGGGTATTTGAAAAGAAAAGAAACTTAATATGTTTTTGCAGGAATGTTTATGGTAGTTTTTAGAGCAAAGGAAGGGAATTTGTAAAGCTTAATGGCATATATTGAAATCAGGAATCGATGTTTATATCTAAAAAGTTATAATAATGTTGTGATTTGTATTTTTATTGATAAGTAGGTTGTATTAATGTTATATTTTATATAAACTATAAAAATTAAACTACATTTCCTTATAAAATTAAACTGTTTAACATTTAATTATAAAACTAATCTTGTTAAACATCAAAGTTTCTAAGCAAGAACCCTTTCCCTGCTTGGGTATCCCTATAATCCCCTTTATATTGGCCATGTAGACCTACTCTTATTACATTTTTTTCTCTTCCTATATCCATCCACAATCCCTTGAGTCCAATCTTCTCATCTTCCTTTATTCACACTTTAAGAAAATCTTATTATTCAACGTTATTGCTCTTGACCCAACGTCGCCACATGGCCACACACATCGTTGGCTTATCCATTGCCTTCAGTCCTGCCTCCTTCAGTCTCTCTCCTCGTCTTTGAGTTCAACCAAATAAATGACTTTGTTTGCCGAGTTTGGAGCACACCCTATACCAGCAGGCCATATTACACCACATACTACACACACACAACACACAACACACCCTCTTTCACTCGAAAAGTCAAGTGGCAAGCGGCAACTGGGGCTGAGCTCGGGATGAGCCCTTCTATGGGTTCAATGGTGGCGCAAAGGAGTCTGGTCGAGCGGTTTTATAAGAAAACACTCGTTGTACTTTGTGAATGAATGAAAATCGCTGCACAATTTAAAAACTTCCGCATCGCCTGGCAACAACAAAACGCACCAAAAATAATGCGCCCCCATCTGTCGTCAGCTGGCTGGTTGACATTTTTCCTTTTTACTTTTTATTTCTCTGGCTATTCCTACAAACCTTTTTCCTTCTACTGCATTTTGCCAGGATTTTCGTGTTGGCACATTCACGGTCTATATTGGTTTTTAGAGTGAAGTTGCTGTAGTCATAGCATTGATATTCAGCTGGCGATTTATTTGAAATCCGATTTTCAAATATTGTATAGAGGTAATATATAGTTTATTCCACTGATTTTAAAGTAGATTAAGATCAAAAGATCTGTGATTTATATCTTATAAGCTGAAAGTATGCAAAGTTATACTTGCTTTCCAAAATCTGCAATCCTTTGTTTCTGAGTAGAGTATATACACCTGGCTAAGAGTGAAATTCAGACTGAGGATGGCTTAGTCGGAGTATGTCCTTGGGGCATCGTTTATGCAGCAGCGAAGGAGAAAGGCTCTCCTTTCTTTGCTTTACTCTTCCTGCGCCGCCTTCCTTTGTTTTCCTCTGCAGCGCACATTAATTTTTGAATAGTGTAAATGCAGTTGAAATTGCAGGCACTCTAAAGTTAACTTCAGCGCACTCCTTCTGCATTGCGTAGATGACTGACTTCCTGAGGCCCTACAATGAGGATTCAAGGAGCAGCCAATCCAGACAGTTTGTTGTGTGTGTGTGTGCCTTTCATGCGGGCAGTTTGTAGTCCTTAAATACGTGGAAATGTGTCAAGGGGGCTGTAAGAGAGAAAAAAAGGGAGTCATAAGATAAATATTTTCAAGAATAAGACAAACATAAAGCACATAATTTGTAAACATTTTAACTAAAACAAGAAAGGAATCTAACTTCGGCATTCCGAAAATTGTATACCCTTGCAGATTAAAATTCGAGCACTAGAATTTAATGCAACATAAATTATATATGTTTATGTTGAAAAACAATAAAGTAATATGCCAGCTTTCACTTCATTCACCTATACGTTTTATATTTTTTAACGATTTGAATGGGATATGGAATGGAATATAGTAGCCCGATTTTCATAAAATTGTACACAAAATTCTAGATTAAAATATAATGGCTATTTATAATTTTTTATGAAAATCTGTTGAAAACTAGAAAAGTAATGATTCTTGATTTCTTATAACTTTATAATCGTTCCTATGGCAGCTATATATATCTATATATATAGTCCACCGATTCGCCATGCTCCGACTTATATAGCAGTAAAATTATATAGAAGAATAACTCCATAGTTTCATTCAAATACCTTGCTCTTAAATTTGTTCCAAAACAAATCTCGCACATGCATATGATTCCCAACTTGTTCTCACATCCCCGGAACGAAGTGTCTTCTACCGGCAAAGTCTCAGAAATGTGTTGTGTTACAAAAGTTGCAAGTCATTGTTTATTAGTGTTAAAAGTTAGTAACTGGTCGTAAATACTTACTGTTTAGAGTTATGTGCTGCTCATAGATACTTACTGATCAGATTTACTTAACGTCCATTTATACTTACTGATCATTGTTAATTACTGGTCATAGATACTTACTGATCAGAGCTACTTAACGTTCATTGATAATAACTGATCATAGGTAATTTCTGGTCATAAATACTTACTGTTCAGAGTTAATTACTGGTCATAGATACTTACTGTTCATAGTTAAACTTCATATCATATGATTCCCAACTTGTTCTCACATCCCCGGAACGAAGTGTCTTCTACCGGCCAAGTCTCATAAATGTGTTGTGTTAAAAAAGTTGCAAGTCATTGTTTATTAGTGTTCAAAGTTAGTACCTGGTCATACATACTTACTGTACAGAGTTACTTGCTACTCATAGATACTTCCTGATCAGAGTTACTTAACGTTCATTGATAATTACTGATCATAGTTAATTAGTGGTCATAGATACTTACTGTTCAGAGTTAATTACTGGTCATAGATACTTACTGTTCATAGTTAAACTTCATATCATATGATTCCCAACTTGTTCTCACATCCCCGGAACGAAGTGTCTTCAGCCGGCCAAGTCTCAGAAATGTGTTGTTACAAAAGTTGCAAGTCATTGTTTATTAGTGTTCAAAGTTAGTACCTGGTCATACATACTTACTGTTCAGAGTTACTTGCTGCTCATAGATACTTACTGATCGGAGTTACTTAACGTCCATTTATACTTACTGATCATTGTTAATTACTGGTCATAGATACGTACTGATCAGAGCTACTTAACGTTCATGGATAATTACTGATCATAGGTAATTACTGGTCATAAATACTTACTGTTCAGAGTTAATTACTAGTCATAGATACTTACTGTTCATAGCTTATCTTCATATCATATGATTCCCAACTTGTTCTCACATCCCCGGAACGAAGTGTCTTCTACCGGCCAAGTCTCAAAAATGTGTTGTTTTACAAAAGTTGCAAGTCATTGTTTATTAGTTTTAAAAGTTATTAACTGGTCATACATACTTACTGTTCAGAGTTATTTGCTGCTCATAGATACTTACTGATCGGAGTTACTTAACGTCCATTTATACTTACTGATCATTGTTAATTACTGGTCATAGATACTTACTGATCAGAGCTACTTAACGTTCATTGATAATTACTGATCATAGGTAATTACTGGTCATAAATACTTACTGTTCAGAGTTAATTACTAGTCATAGATACTTACTGTTCATAGCTTATCTTCATATCATATGATTCCCAACTTGTTCTCACATCCCCGGAACGAAGTGTCTTCTGCCGGCCAAGTCTCAAAAATGTGTTGTTTTACAAAAGTTGCAAGTCATTGTTTATTAGTTTTAAAAGTTATTAACTGGTTATACATACTTACTGTTCAGAGTTATTTGCTGCTCATAGATACTTACTGATCGGAGTTACTTAACGTCCATTTATACTTACTGATCATTGTTAATTACTGGTCATAGATACTTACTGATCAGAGCTACTTAACGTTCATTGATAATTACTGATCATAGGTAATTACTGGTCATAAATACTTACTGTTCAGAGTTAATTACTGGTCATAGATACTTACTGTTCATAGCTTATCTTCATATCATATTATTCCCAACATGTTTTCACATCCCCGGAACGAAGTGTATTCTACCGGCCAAGTTGCAAGTCATTGTTTATTAGTGTTTAATGTTAGTGACTGATCATAAATACTTACTGTTCATAGTTACTTGCTGATCGTAGTTACTTTATGTTCAGAGTTACTTGATGTTCATTGATACTTACTCATTATAGGGACTTACTGATCGCAGGAACTTACTGTTGAAAGATACTTACTGATCCTCTATATAGTGTGCCGATTTTCACAAAACTGAAAACGAATGTCTTTTACAATAAATGATAGCTTTGAATCAAGTTAGATAACAAAAAAAATGTGTTAATAACTGAAAAGTTATAATTTTTTCCCCGACCCGACTCGTCTGTTTATGCTGATCAAGAATATATATATTTTATATGGTCGAAGATGACTCCCTCACTGCGTTGCAAACTTCTGACTGAAATTATAATACCCCGCAAGGGTATAAAAATATAAGGAATTATATGGAATCTGTGTGGCTTCTTTAGGTTCGAAGTAGAGGAAAGATCTATTATAAAGTCTTTGCTAGTTAGTATCTTTACTAAGTATCTGTAACTAAGTAAAATATTATACGTAAGCTCCCACATTTATCATGCACAAGTTTTTACTTACTTTTTATTAATTCTCATTATTTTTGTATCTTTTTCAGCAATTAGCAGTATAAACCAGGTAAGTGTTTATTTACTTCATTTAAACCCAACTCACCCCTCAGATTTTACCGTCTCGCCTTTGTCTTTCAACCATTTAATTGGCTAAAATGTTCCCTTGCCTAAATGAGTTTCTTAATGGGCACTAACGTCAGTGGGGAAAAACTTCAAATATCTCTGTCGGGAATGAAATGACTCATTTAGTTTCTGAAGAAAGGCACTGTAAAATTACGTGCAAAAATAAAAATTGAAACAGAAAGGGAAATCATTTGACGCCATAGTCTCGCCTTTTCTCAATGCAAATTAGTTGAGGGTATCGCCCATATTTACATTATCTGACCATAAATATAAACCCATTATTTATAACCTATAACAATTTAAGTCAGCTTGTGTCCTCGTTAATCATCGTCATTATCATCGCACTTTATATATCTGTTGTTTTGTTAAGCTTCGTTTTGTCGTTTTCATTAACCTTAATTAGCGTGTGCCGTTGACATTCGTCACTATCCGCATAAATGCAATTGGCCAAGTTAGTTATCCCCTTCTCGTCATCATCATTATCATCATCGTCGAATGAGAGTGACATTTTGTGGCACACGTTTTTTTGCTCCCCTCGTTGTCTCTGTTTTATATATTTTCCTGTCATTCTGCCACGACCCGGAGAGTCTGATATTGACCATGGCTTGGAAGTCGTTACCAGCCACCAACATTCGTACTCCCCCGCCTGTGGCCACCATATGCCATACTGCATCCCCAATTCCATCCCCATTCCCATCCCCATTTCCATCCTCATTCCCATCCCCATTCCCATTCCCATCCCTATTGCGCCGTGTTGGTTATTGCAACTGGCTGACTGCCATCGCTGTTGGTGTCAGCTGCAAATGAGTTTCTGGGCCGTAAACGCAAAGTGGACGAGTTGGCAATGGGGATACCATGGTTGACAACTAACAGCAACTTTCAAATGCTCTGGTTTTGGTTTTTATTAAAGTGGTAAAAATTAAATTTAAAGGTTTTTTTTTATAGAGTTTTTACTTGTGCTTCTTTAAATTTATATTAGACATGTTTACGTTAAATTTTATTAAGTGAAAAAAGGTCAAAATATCTAGATATGAGCTAACAATCGATTCGTAAAATTTGATATATTATATTTCTATATATTTTCTACTTTAAAATAGGATACGCACCATATACCATTCTGTGGCAAACTAAACAGTTTCACATAACCAGAAAAACCTTTGAAAAAAGCTTTAGTTTATGTTACATTTCATTCTATTTATATATATTTTGAACATATTTTTTCCCTTGCCTTATTAGTGAAAGGAAAATATACATTTTTCGGTTGTCATTAGGCAGTTGCAACTCAGTTGCATTAGTACACATTTCCCCAAGTGATCCACATTAATTACGCCTTGTGGCTTTGGTCGTCGTCAACAGCACCACCACAAATGTTGACTGACCAAGTGGATCTTGCCTTATAAGCGTTGTCTGGCGATGTCTGCTCTTGCTCCATTTACTTGCCAATGACAGTGAGTACGGAAAGTATGTCGACCTATCGCTTACTTCACTGCCCACACGACGAGAGCTTCACTAAACTAGTTTGTGTGCAAAAATGGCATTCACCAGTAGCATTTCGCATTCGAGATGGATGACTTTGAACGCAATATAGGTGTTAATCTGAGTTCTGAGTTCATTTAGTCTAAAAAAATTACTTAAAAAAGAAGAGAAATTACTAATTTGCGCTTATTTGTTGTTTGTCAGTTTGTCACGTATTAGGTTGGTTTGGTTTTTTATTTTTTACTTGTGACTTCTTGGGGTTCCGAGTTCTTGTTTTCTCATCCAACGCCTGGCAGCGTGAGGCCTGGCCTGTCAATAAAGTTCTTGACACCTTTTACTTCATTTGCTCAGATTTCTCTCGACAGTGACTTTCGGTTTGCTTTTCTCCTCTGTACAAAGTATTCACAGTCCATGTAAATTCGTTTACTCAAGTGGGCGAAAGGTATTCATACAATACTCAAGATATTGGAATGAAGATAATAAATATACTTACAATATATGGCAAAAGATTTTACAAGTACTTCTTGGCAAAGAGTTCGTCCCACTTTCCAGATTTATTATTAGTACTTTTGAGTGTCGAGTATTTCTCCATAAAATGTGGAATTTGTATTCTTTAACTAAATTTAGCTGTAATAACCAATATCCACTACAAAAAAGGTTTACATCAAAATCCTGTAAGCCTGAAACAAAAGACCTTTATGCCATTGATGTATTCCAACAGGCTTAAATATTGATAACATTAAAACCATTTCCAACTGCAATAAGTAAACAAAGGCCACAGAATTATTTAATATACGTATATAATAGTCATATAACAGACTTATTGTTTGCATTTACTGATAAAACGCATAATGAAAATCATTCGCCTTCAATTTGCTGCAACTAATTGCAAATGTGTCTAGGAAAAACAAAAAGCAGGCCCCAGCAATGACCTTTTGCAAATACGCACATATAGGCGTGATTATTTCTTCTTTTTTGTTGTATTTTTTTTGTATTTGTTTCTTCAGTAAAATTTAATTGTGCAAACAAAAGCTACTGACCACCACCAGCACCTCCTCTTCCTGACCTCCGTTTCGGGTTTTTGTGTTGCGCACGCTTAATTGCTTCTGACTTTTGTGCCGGCCTGCTGCTTCCTTGTCTTGGCCTGGCTTGTTGAACTTTCAAGGTAACAGGCAGTGGCAGTGGCAGTAGCTCTCGTGTTTAATTTCCACGAAATAAAGAGAAAGAGAAAAAAAGAGGCAAATAAAATGTCTAAGATTGCTATTATCTTTTTAATAACATCTCGGGGTAACTGCGAACACATTCCCACCAAGAAGGCGGCAAAGTGGAAATAAAAAGGAATTACCAAAACCACGAATTTAATTACACTCTCAACCAGATAACGCCCCAAATGAAGCGATAAAATCCCGCAGCTCAGTGCCCCCTCAAAATAAATCACAGGGAATTGTAACTAAGAAGAGCTTTATTTTACCATTTACCATTTAACATTTTGTGAAAATGTCTTAAGAATTAAATTAATTCAATTTCTGCCATTGACTTTGCATAGTTCTCTTTTCCGCATGCCAGCGAATCAAGAAGCATGTCTGACACACGCTCTATATATTTTCATGGTCCCAGGTTATATGTTTTCAACATCATGATGTTACACTTCTTAGACAAAAGGAAACTACTAAAAATAAACTGCAAATATCTAAATGAAATCAAATTCATTTTACTTCTGCATACAAGTATATATAGTAAACTGAACCGAAGCTGAAACCACAATGGCAAAACGAAAACAATAATGTCAACAAGAAGAATGCTTTGCATATAGGAGAATGATTTTAAGTAAATTAAAATGTCTCTCCTACGGTCAGCAAATAACTATATCTCTTTCTTCACACTGTAATTTATTATGCTTCTAAAAATACATATATATAAAATGGTGCTATTATTTAAGAAATTAATATATCCAAGAGGCGTAGAGGTAATCTAAATTAAATTGCAGCACATCTTGCCTTGCTTTTTGTAATGGTTTTCATATAGAAAGTAATAAAGTATATAATACTAAAGTAAATCCCAAGGATTATTAATATGTTTAATTTGAAAAATAACTTATTTGCTTCAAATATTATAATTCTAGTACATAATAACTACTAATCGTTTAATGATCGAATTTCATGACATATCTATATTTTAATTATAAAACTCCATACTACAATTTACATATCATGAATTCTCCTTTGTATAGTATAAGTATTCAAAAATCTTGAATAAATGGGCAGTGGCAATATCTCGCTTCTCTTGGAATAACTGTTCCACATTGCTTTCCAGGCTGCTTACATTAAAGTGATTACTAAGGATTTACTCAAGTTCAAGAGGTTAATTGAATGGGAATTATTATTGGATATTGATTTCCATACCATCTATGTATACACGCTACTTCATGCTTCCTCCTTCGGATGTCTGGACAAAAGGGATGGGCTCCTGGCCCTCCTGTTGCCGCATTTGTTGCAACGGATGGTTCTGAATGCTGGGTGGTGCTGACTCCTCGTTCTTCTTGTCCTGTTTCTGTGCCACCTCATGGGGCTTCTCGGAGTTTACGTCATCGGAGTCATCATGACCATCGCTGCTCACCAGAGTGTAGGTCGGTTTCTTGAGTAAATAGCGTGTGTTGGGATGTTGCTTCGTCTCCAGCTCAAGACGGTCGATCAGCCAGCCCTTTTTCTGGTTATTGGTGGCCCAGAAGTACACGGTGCCCTTGTCCTTGGATCCCTGCACCGAAACCTGCAGATGGGCCTTATCCGCATCACATCGATTCTTCTCGTTGGAGAGATTGAAGCCCGACTCCCTTATGGGCTCGCCCAGCAAATCCACAGCTCCGCTATGCTGACGGAGTTGCTGAATGGCCATCTGGTAGTACTCCATGCGACGGACCTGATCCTCTAGACGCCACCGCATGTAGGCCAGACCCGAAATGGAGGCCAGGGCTCCAAATATGCAAAGACTACCCAACGTTCGCCGGGAGGGTAAGCCAATTGTCATCTTTAAGGTGGGCATTGTATGGCCTTCCTTCCTATGGGCTAGTGTAATCACTTTAAGAATTTTGTTCCAGGCCTATCTATGAATTTCGAATGGCTATGTTAAGTTACAACCAAACAACACAAACACAAGTTGACAATGATCTCGAATCGCTGTGATGAAGATCGATTTTCGAGATATTTCCCACAATCCCAAAGTTTTCAGTTGATGATCAAAACGCACCTTGAAATCATCTTCCTCAGGATCGGCAGGCGTTGCCTTCAGATAATTGCAACGAAGCTTCTTCCTCGAGAGCAGCCAGGTTCAATTTCCAAGTTGCCGCCCAAAAGGCGTGCACCACAAAACGCTTGCCCCAGTGGAATCCAGGGGAAAAGAACATAAACTCGTTTGGTTTCGCGGCCTAGCTGTACATAGTAGTAGTTGGGGGTTTTATTTTCTTTTTTATTATTTTGGTTTGTGGGCCAAACAAGCAGCGGCGCCATTAATGACAGCCCCAAAGAGTGACCCGTCCGGTGGATAGACCACGAAACCTGCGATTTTGTATGGGAATTTTTTACTAGAAGGAGGAAGCGACTGAATTATCAATAGTTGTGCTCCAAAAAAGAGTCTAGAACATAATTGAGGGTCCTCGGTTAGCTGTCGTTCTAATAGAAGAAGGAGTTAGGTCTTTGTGAAGAAGCTTGAAAATATGTGAAAAGTAAAGGCGTTAAAGGGAGTTAAAGTGTGTGAAATGTTCCCTGGATTGTGTGAAATTTATTGCATTTGTTTGATTTATAAAGTAAGCAAAGTTTTCTTAACTTATCGTGTATGTAACAGCGGACGGAGACCGTCAGATAAGGCAGAGATAATCCCTCTTGTATAGTACAGATATAACCAAGATACAATTATAATTGTGTAATTGTATCATGGCTATATCCACAATATAGCCACTTGACTTCTTAAAATGTATGGATTTAACCTGTTTACATATGTATATCCTGTATTTACTCTGATTGTAATGCCAAAAATTGACAAAAAAAGAGAGCTTTGAGGCTTCGCAAATCAAGGCCTTGATCATTAACTTCTTCCCACTTCTTCATTTCTGGCTAATTTTTTCTTATTCCTATATAAACTTACCATAATTGTCTTTTTTATATATACTCTTAAAGAGACTAAAAAAGTACCTATTTTAAAATAATTATAGCACTGGTTAATTATTAATTTCTACTAATTTTTCTACAAACATTCTCTCCCCCCTAATGGCATCCCAAAAAAATACATATAATTACATAGAGCAATTCTCCAGTCGGTGGATTTCTCCTCACATCTCATTATAGCACTTGGGCTATTTTTACTTGCCTGGGCCATGCCCCATGGAGTAGTAGCTGAGGCCTGACCAGAACCCAATGAGTGTCCATTTAGGGAGCGCATAGTTATTTAAAAATAGTTTCCCAAGAACGCCGGCCATGAGGAATGCGCACATCTCGACGGTAATCGATAGCCTTTGCAACGCCTGTCACGGACGGGAACGGAATATTGCATCTAGATGCATCCGATACAGCACCTAGCCAAGAGCTGGCTTGGTCTAATCTATCAATGCATCTCTTCCATGGCCGCTCGTCTCATCTTTGGGTTTGAATATCTTCAGCAACGCGCTGATGTTACATTTTTGGCCTAAGTAGCCTCTTGCGTGTCAGGCGTTTATTTTATCGCAGGAGGGGATCGTGCAGCAGGATGTGGATGCGACAATTTCAGAGCTCTTTTTTTTGCTTTAGCCTCATTAAGGCATCGCATCTCTCTAAACACTGTCACTTGAAGACCATTTTGGTGAGCTTATCTTTACTGTGCCAGGTCCCCACCATCCCAGCATCTTCATCTTTAAGTGCGCCATGTGTTTTTAACATGATTTTGATGTACTCAGCGTGGCGTGGTTAGAGCAAGGTCTTCAATAAATCAAATTGCTTAGATGCTCGAAACTGTTTTTAGACGCTTAAGTATTTCTTGGGAAGTGATTCTTCTGTGTGTGTGAGTTTTAATAGTCGTTCTGCAGGTGGTGTTACAGGTGTTTAAGCCCGCATCCCATAAATATGCTTAAAGCTGCCTATTAACGCTTTAACGGGAATTGAGATATAAATTTGGTTAAGTGTGATGTGTGATTTTACACTAAAAGATTTTCTAATTAAGGATTGTGAGTCATTTCATTACCAATTTCCTTAAGTATACTTTAAAAGCCAGCTTTATTCGATTGGATTTTAGGCAGTGACTAATAAAGCCTTTTGATTTTTAATGATTCTTTAATCCCCCCATTATTACATTAAATTTTATTTCCACCCTTTCATGTAAGCTCACATGACGCATAAGCCGAGAAGAAACAATTTATCAACTTTTTAATGACAATAAATGTCTGTGTTGTTTTCGTTTCCTTTGCTTCTTTTTTATTAATAAAGAAGCATCAAGACTTTTTAATTAGTTTTATGCTGGACACGAGTAAATGAAGCCCAGCATAAATTAAGCAAGTCGGAGGAGGGTTGGACCCGGGTTGTAATCATAAAACTGGTTACTGAGAAATGCAATTGGGGGACATCAGGGCGGCAAATGTGCATTTGTCGGCCTATCAACTGGCTTTGTATTGTTTGGCTCTCCTCTCTTACTCATCACTGATTATTTTATTTGATTTATTCAAATGATTTAAACATTACGTCATGCCATAGTAGAATCCATCTCCACTGAGTTCTCTCATTAGATTCGATTGACCAGAAGGCCAGTGGCGCTTCCTCAACCTCCCATTAACCCAGAGACCTTCAAGGCTCGCCAACTAAATTAAGCATTTACCTAAAACGTTAAAAGACCATAAATTATGTGAGTTCTCTTAACTAAAAATCATAAGCAAAACAGGCCAAAGCAGTCAGTCACACGGAAAAGAAAAATGCAGTCTGATATTAATCAAGTATTAATTAAAAATTTGCTCTGTGGCTCTTGTAAATAGATTTTCTCTCTCTGCATTCGGTTCAGTCAAGCGTTCAGTCTCACTTAGCTATTATTTTCAATAAAAGGCAAAATAAATATGGCAAATTGAAGTGGCCGCCGGCCACAAAACACAAATCGAGGTAAAAAAGAAAAAATCAAGAAAAATATTGTGGAAAACGCACTGCGCATGCGCAACACGCAATGCCAAAAGAGAAGCCACTGCTGCCAAAGGCAAACTTGGTTTACTCGAGACGAAGCCGATGTCGATGCCGAAGTTGAATCCAAAGCCAAGGTTGCTGTTTTTGTAATTGCTTGTCTCCGCTTGGCTTCAAGTACAACCAACAGCACCGACATGCGTCCGAGTAATGTTAGCGCCATAAATAGAGAAGACTGACTGGGAGATGGAGACAGAGACTGAGACTGGGCCTGAGACGGAGACGGATCGGTTTGGTGGAGGCTTGGAGGAGGAGTCGCCGTCGCCTGGAACGAACCTCTGTTTAATTGCAAGTTGTAAAAATCTTTTAGGGTGGAGCTAATCACCAAGGCAACAAAAAAGAAAAAACAGTATAAGACAGAAAAACAGCCGAGTACAAGAAACACAAACTTACAGGAAAGTCAAATGAAGGCCAGAGTCATAGTTGGTGGGAAATATTTTTTTGCAGAGCTCAAAGGAGCCCTCAAGGGAACATGTGAATATAGATAGTCTTTGCCCATAAATTCTATGAATTGTAAAAATTTCTTGTCTTGTTTTATAAGTCACGATAGTTGAGATTCTATGCTATGTCTGAACTCTGTATAAAATAATTGTATAGCCATTTTGAGCTCTCTAAGCATTGATTGGTTTCTTTATATGTTATTAATATTTCAATAATTAAATTCTAATTAAATGAATGAAATTCTTATTGAACGATTAGCAAATGCCGCAAAACTGCCTGCCATGTGGTCTTTCCATGCCATGTGGACTCCAAACCGACCTCTTCCGCTCTGCTCCCTAGCATAGGGGATCTTATCGCATAGCTGCTGCTGCTTCTGCGTCTGCTTCTGCTTTTGCTACTTCTGCTTCTGCTTTTGCTACTTCTGCTTCGGTGGCTGCCACTTCAGCGGCGGCTGTTTGGAGCTCGGTTTCCATTTGGGAAATGGGCAAACAATGGCCACTGATAAAGGCCAGCGAAAGAGTAGAAGCTATTGCTATGGCTCTACAAATGTGAGCCAGTCGTCTGTGAAATGAAAGTAGCTGGGACAAAAAACACCACCACAACCACCAGCAGCAGACTGTAGGTCGACAATGCCCAGTTACAAGCTGCACTGCATCCATGCCAGCTTATGCGTCTGCTTCTGCGTCTAGGTCTGGGTTTGGATTCGAGTCTGGAGTCTGAGTCTGGGGATTTCTTTTCTTTTATCATCGGCTGTCAGACGGGCGGTGTGACAAGCGAATCGAAACTGCTTTCAAGAGTTTTCTACTTGGAAAATATATATAACTATTACGTTTCCTGCTGCAAAAGCGGCTGACTTTTGTTGTTTTGAATTTATAGCAAACAAGTCAATTGTTTCCATTATGTTTATGTAATTGCAAACGAAAGACAAGGTTAGCTTTACACTTGAAGAATGTATGATACTTCCGGTGAGAGAAGCTATTGTGAATATAAAGAGCAAGGGAAATACCTTTTCTTGTAGTAACTTTATTTATATTAATTATTATTATAACTGTTTTTTATAATGAAATACAAATTGATGTATTTAATTAGGAGAATATGTATACCAGTTAACTATATTCAATTGGAAACCTAAATGAGCTTCTTTTATAACCCTGATGTTTAAAGGTAGATCATAAGTAGGCTTAAAATAGTAATAATATTTATATAATTTCTTTGACAAATCCAAGCTTAAAAATAGCATAACTAGGCCATAAAAGCATTAATTTTTTATCTGAAACCTTTCCTATGATCGCTTTTATTAGATTAGATCGACTCGTCTGTTGATGCTGATCAATAATATATATTATTTATAGGGTCGGAAATGAATCCTTCACTGGTTTATAAGCTCATGACTTAAATTAAAATTATAAATCTTTAAATATTACAGTAAAGTACGTTTAAGGTAAATATACTTCGTTTTGTGCATCTTTCTTGTTTTCCTGAAAGTGTATTTAACCGCATAGTGCATCCACTGGCATGGAAGTCTTGGCATTAAGACTCCT